CAGTATTTTTCTGAAGAAGGGTCTAGGCCCAAAACGTCAGACTTCCTGCTCCTCTGATGCTCCTTGGCCTGCTGTGTTCATCCAGCTCTGCACCTTGTTATCTCAGATTCTCCAGCATCTGCAGTTCCTGCTATCTCTGAAACGAATGTAATTGCTTGTCTTCCATACACATAAATGATTTCAAAACTATTAAAACAACATTTTTCTTACACTAAAATCAGAAATTGCACTTTGAATTTTGTACAAATACTTTAGTTGCACCATAACTGAAATTTCCATCATTAGAGACTCGTGCATGCATACGACTGAAACTCTCCTTCTAAGGTCAGAAGCAAATTAAGCCAGCAAGATAAATGAAAAGCAGAGTAAAAGATCACCCTCTGTCATGGAGCTAGGCAGCAGTTGCTTCATATTGAACATCTGCATGTTAAAATTAACACTGCTTGCAGGCTGAACCACCTCACACATCAGATCCAGAATGTGCACAATATATTTGCTCATTACTGGGACTGACATTTCAGTGCAACACTAAGGGATCTTTGCACAGTTGGAGATGTCATTGCTTGGAGAAAGCATTAAACTGGGTTTTAGTTCCCCTCAGGTGGACATGCACAATTCCATTTCACCACCTAAAGAAATGCGTGGATTCTCCTGGCTTCTTAGCCAACACTTAACTCTGAATCAACATCACTAAAAGCGGATTCTTTGGTCAGTTACCTCATTGTTGTTTGTGGGACCTAACTGCACAAACCCAACACTAGGTTTCTTAACATTACAACGGTCACTACATTTTCAAAATACTCTTCTTGCTGTAAACACTATTAGAATGATTTAAAAGACTTGAAAAGGTGTTATACAGATGCAACATCCTTCTTTCCTAGTTCAAAATGAATTTCTTCTTGAATAAAATGAGTTGACCCAGGTTGAAAGTACAAAGACAGCACATCTAATGAAATGAGCAGATTTTGACTGAAGATACAATTCATCGAAAGTACACTCCCAACACTTTCAAAAATTGAGACAATAGGATTCTTCTGCCTTTGTGGACCTGGCCCGGAAGTAAAAATCAGGAACAATAAAATGAAATTACTTTGAAAACTCAACTTCTGTGGACAGAAAGCTGACTTAACATTTTGGGTCCAGTGACCCTTTTTCAGAACCGACTGTAGATAGGGAAAGATTGGTATATAAACTGAAGATGGGTAAGAGGAGGGTGAGGAGTAAATGATAGGTGGAGATCGAGCACAAAAAGAGAGAAAAGAAATTGAACAGACAAAGGAATGGGTAAAGGTCAGCCTGGGAGAATCAAAAGCTGTTATTGGGGACCATTAGTAAATGACAATGGGTTCGTTGTGGTAGCAGCCCTTATGATGACAAGAGATAACAAGGTGTAGAGCTGGACGAACACAGCAAGGTTCACAGCCTGAAGGGTCTAGGCCCGAAACGTCAGCCTTCCTGCTCCTATGATGCTGCTTGGCCTGCTGTGTTCATCCAGCTCTACACCTTGTTATCTCAGATTTATCTGCAGTTCCTACTATCTCTTATGACGACAAGGTTCAGTGAGTGGGGGTTGGGATAAGGACATGGGAAAAAGTGCTCAGGCCCTAAAGTTATTAAACTCGATACTGAACCCAAAAATCAGTGTTTAGCCGTCTAAATCAGACAGCATACAAATACAATGACCTGGGATCAAAAACATATTAATATTTAGCAGTACAGTTTATCAGTAAAATTCTTTTTGTGAGGTCAATGTCTGATCTCTGTCAAAGAAAGCCAATTATGCAGTATGCCCAAATAATGGCATGAAAAAAGTGAAACTATTCACTTTTAACTAATCAAAAATCCTAATAGTCTCATGGTGGATACAATATACAAGTGGAATTACTGTTATTCAACTAAATAAATATTGGGTATGTAAACATTTCTGTCCAATGGATATTATCAGTCTCACACTGCCCACCCTGAACTATGTTCCATAGTTTGGTTAATGTTATTATAAATTAAAATAAATAAATTATCTTCAACTAATCTAGCATTCTATAATTGCCATAACTAAGCAAATCTGTTTTAAGAGTGATGGGATAACACTTTAGAACTGAGATGAGGAGGAATTTCTTCAGCTAGAGGTAGTTAACCTTTGGAACTCATTGCTGTTGAGGGCGGTGGAGGCCAAATCACAATGAGTATTTAAGACAGGGATAGATAGGTTCTTGGTTCATAAGGGAATCAAGGGTTACTAGGAGAAGGCAGGAGAATGTGGTTGAGAAACATATTAGCCATGATCAAATGGCGAAGCAGACTCTATGGGCCAAATAGCGTAAATGTGTTCCTATATGTTACAATCTTAAATGCACACTGTAATTTGGAGGAATTTGTTGTAATATAGACCATTATTATCACTGGCAATTTGTAACAGTCCTAAAATCAGCTATGTTCGGGGTAGGGGGATAGTAGCCTCAAAAGTTGTTTTTGGCCACACTACTGATATCAAGTATGACTGACTGAGCTCATATCCAAAGTCTCACGTTGAGAACGTGTTACTTACATGAGGATCACAAATAATATAAATCTGCTTTTGAGAAACTACAATGCTATAATTGTTCAAAACTCAATAAAACATATTTGATCAACTGCAACCTTAAATATAGTCATATTTTTAATTATTGTAAACAAATGTGATCTCCAACTCACAAAAGGATGTCAAATCTTAAAAAAACCGAGAAATCCCTAATCAGTGGAATGTATGTTGATGCTTCATAAGTTTGCAAAAAGCTCCGGCTAGTAAAGACATTTGATTTCTGATTCTGAACTATGTGAATCATCCAAAGAGAATCTGCAAAGGGTTCCACTTTTAAGAAAACATGGCAATGTAAACATCTTTAAATTGGGTGCTTATTCCTTCATCACAGCAATTCTCTAAGTTCCAGTACATAATGAGCTTTAACAGTATTTCAGATCTGGAAACACTATCACTGGTTAAACAACTGCAAGAAGTTGGAAAATATTTTATTAATTGTGGCTTACAAATCAATATCAGTGAGCAGCTTCAGCAAATATCTATTGAGAGTAAAGACTTCTCCCATTCACTTTGACTGCTGAAGTCTAGTCTTCCGCACCATTGCCTCTCATTCCCAACCTCTTGTGGTCTATCACTGTTGGCAAAGTCTTCAGCCTTTGTGACCGTACTCTTTAGGACTCCCTTCCTAAGTTCCTCCACATCTCAACTTTCCTCTCTGCCTTTAAAGGTCTTCTTAAGAAACATTTATTTGGCCAGAAGTCCAGTAGATTCGATTACCTGAAGGCTCAATATCTCATCTTTCCAAACACTGTAAAGCAAGGGCAGCACAGTGGCTCAGTGGTTAGCACTGCTGCCTCACAGCACCAGGGACCCGGGTTCAATTTCAGCCTCGAGCAACTGTCTGTGTGGAGTTTGCACATTCTCCCCATGTCTGTATGGGTTTCCTCCAGCTGCTCTGGTTTCCTCCCACAGTCCAAAGATGTGCTGGTTAGGTGGACTGGCTATGCTATATTGCCCATAGTGTCTAGGGTGGGAAATGCTGGGTTATGGTAGGGGGTGGGATGCTCTTCGGAGGGTCGGTGTGGACTTGATGGGCCGAATGGCCTGCTTCCTGAACTGTAAGGATTCAATGAACACTTGTGTGTTATCCTATACTAAAATTACTGTCTCAGATTTTTGTGGAGCAGGGCATTGCAATGCATTAGACATTTTCTTCCTCCACATATTTACATCTGGTAATTTGCTGGAAATGTGAGCCTTAACGAATGATAGAAGAATTTACCTTCCAAACTAATGAGACAGGAAAATGAATTAGATCAGAAGAATTAGAGCCAGATCAGTAAAAGAAGCACAATAAAAAGCAAGAAAGAAACATGGGATTAAGGAATTGAAAAAGAAAAAAAAACTCAATTTTAAGGCTAAATAAAACATGGCATAAAGCACAGGGTTTTAATTTACGTAGTATTCTTCTAATCATTTGCCATAGATGGACATGGAATATCACGGAAACATTTTGACGAAGAACAGGCAAGTTACTGCCAGTGTTCTGGCTATTGTTTGTCTCTCAGTAAACATTACAAAAACAGATTATTTGGTCATAATCACATTGTTATTTGTGAGAGTTCGCAAATTGGCTGCTACATTTCCTGTGTTACAAAACTTCAACTTCAACTAGTACTTTGTAAAGCTGTAAAACGTCCACATCTGTGGTGATCATGAAAAGTGCTAAATAAATATTTCTTTTTCCTGTAACTTTAGTGGAAGATCTGCAGAAACCTTGCAGAATCACAATATCTCCAAGGTTCCCGCAAAGGTTGTACAAAAGTTGCTGCAGAAACTGGCAAAGTCCTTGTGGAAATTCAAGCTCTTAGGGCACTTACATGATAAAATTATTACTGCATAGGTTACAATTGATATCTCTGACATGCAGAATCACTGTGTTCAACTAAAGAAAGCTGAATCTTTCCCGTGGAGGAAATACAAATTTTTCTAACAAATAAAACTCAAAATATACTTTCAATTTTCTGAAATGTAAGTGTGTGTTTGAATTAGCCATTGGCTGCTAAGTGTAGTTTATGACTGGGCAGGCTGAAGGATTTATACCCCAATACCCCTGAGCAGTTTTACAATATAATTTGGTTCTCAGTTTGAGAATTTGACTTTCGCTTACTAGAAGTAACAAGCTGCATTTATGAGAATGACTGTCCCCAATAATAAACACATGGTGCCTACTAAATGTGCACACAAATACGTGATATATGCAAAGTCATTTTTAAAATTGCAGCATATATTAATACAGAAACAAACTTAATCCTTTTGACAAAGTTAACACGTCATCTCCAAATAAAATTCAAATTAAATTAATTTTTATAACCTGTACCATATACTGCTTACTTCAAATATAAAAGTTCATTATCTAGGGAGAGGTATTTTGAAAATAATGCAGTAACAGTTTTACAAAGTCAAGTAGTATTTCACTCACTGCTGGGATTTCTTCATCATCCATATCTGGGTCAATCCAGATAGAAGATTCCTCTGGCAAATGCCAAGCTGTGGTCGCTTCATTAGGCTGACATGAGAAGTCCCAGCCAGGGTACAGCTCACTTCCAATATTCATAATTTGCAATGAATTTAACTTCTAAAGAGTTCTAAATCTTGTCTTAACTTCCCCCTGCTTGACTATGGTCTGCAGTTACTTCTGATGAGCCATTTTCGATTGGGTGTCTATTTTATTCTCAATTTAATTATCTTTGCATTTTATCAGTAACGCTTGAGGATGGAATTAGCCTGACTCCCACATGCAACAAATTAAGTATCTGACTGCCTTGATTCTATGCGTTTCTACTGTCCTATAGTAACCTCAGCTCACACACATTGCCAACTACAGATGTTTCCTGTCAATAACAATGAAAAAAGATTCTGTTCCAAGAATTAACTTAATGTAACTCCACAATTATACACTGTTAAGCATTTCCCTCCATACTTTTAACTAAGCAAGAGAATATCTTCAGTCTTTTTTGATATATAAGCAGTTCTGATCTCTTGTGGGAGGAGTTTGGTGTGGTTCCACAACCTGAGCAAACACTGGCTGTGCAGATGTGCCAAGTGGGTGATGGCAGTATTAACTATTAACCTGTTGGCAAACAATATACTCTGGGATCTGCTGGTACGTAAACAGTCTCTCTCCTCCCGCCCAACTCGGTTTATCCTGGAAAGTGACTCAGATTATTTAACTTCACGAAATAACAGAACTTTGCTCTCTAGCAGTCAACTCAGCATACATGTATTTGTTATAGGGTGGCCACCTTCATAAATACTGCACAATGATTCAGAGTAAGGCCAAATGATATTGAAACCAGATGTGATACTTATTGCAAGGGAGGAAGGGCACCAAGTTCACAAGGTGAATGAACTTCAGGCTCTGTTCCTCTGCACTCCAGATAAAATGCAGAACAGAGATGAAAAGGTTTTTCATTTACAGACTATTTTAACCCCTTCAGATACACTCCCATTAGGTTTTTGATATGCAAATTAATAATGGGGCACAGTATCCCTTTATCGAACTACAAACAAGTCCAACAGTTCTGCACCGACCGCATCACGCTTTGTATTATACTGTCCAGCTGACTTCTGAGTTAACTACATATATCCTTAACTATCACATTAAAGCAGAGCTTGTAAGATCAGTCACTATTACTGAAATGGCAAGTAAAACAGGATCAAAGTAAAAAAAAAGTCTATAAAATTTAAACAGACTCCAGATTCATTACTGCTACAAAGGAAATTTTAAACAAGTCTCAGATTTTGGGCAGTTACATTCAAACAGCAATTATTCAATTGGAGAAAATAACAAGAATTACAACATATCACCAATAGCATAAAGGCTCTCTGCTCTCAATTTCCATTTCTCAAATTGCATTTTCAAATGATCTTTATTTATATGGCCCCTCCATGACACTTTTAAAGGAAAGTGAAAGTACCCTTCAGAGTGACCCCTCCATGGCCCTATTTGGGGATAAACTTGGAATTTTCCATCAATATTTTATGGTCACCTGGATGATGTCAGAGAGCTGGTAAGGTGTTTGTGAATTCCAATTCTAGGCCATGGTTGAAGTGGGCTTACATCTGCTATCTTTTGATTTTTCAGGTGTTTCTCAGATGTTCCATTTTTAGCACTCACAGCAGGCTAGTGTTGGATAGCAGGAAGAGACAGTGAGAAGGTTACTTTGTGTAGATGCATCACTAAATGTTACTACTCAGAATAATTTTTTCTTCTTTTACTCGGAGTAATGATTCATAGCTTCCCCTTCTATGATTTCTATTCTATCATCTGATATCTCTTGGGGAAAACAGGACAGGTGACCTGCTCCCAAGTTTGTTAAGTAAATGTGAATATTAGAAATTGCACAAAAATGTGAAGTGGTAACGCTCTGGATATTCTATCCTGAAGTAAGAGCCTTTTCCTGATACTTGCCAAACTGACAACATGGATAAAACCTGGAATTGGACAGATTAGGGGGACAATATCAATTTATACCAATAATATCAAATGAATTCATTCATGACTTAAACTTTTATAATTCCCAAGTCACTAGGTCTCTCGTTGTTGGTCTCTATGGATTTCATTCTAGTCAGCAATAGGAAGTATCATGGAACTCCAGCCTGAGATTGCAGGGGCCTAGATGTTTTGCAGATATCACACTACATTATTAGGTCTCTTTTGTCTTTCAAATGAGTGGCAGTAATGGGGATCCTAACAGAGAAACAGGAAAGGAAGAATTTGGCAGTCAAAATTGCTGATATGTAGAAAGTAGAAGTGTATGACTAACTTGAGGACACTGCTATCCTGATTTAGAAATTCAAACCTGAAAATATGCTTCCAGTTATTGAACAGAATTAACAAAATTATGTTTAAAGATGTGTACCAAAGACCAAGAAAGCACACCACAAACGTATCATGAACTTGTTCATCACTGTTGCAATATTATCTGATGTAAATAGCCCTCAAAGAATAATACATTTTCAGAAGGCTTTCATTAAAGTCAATGCCATTCAGGGGGGCTGCGTTCTTGAAGAACATCATAATCAGTAATTTTTGCAAATGGTTAGCCTAGTACAATGCACATGGGCAATATGTACTTTTGCTCCAGGAAGTACACTTTTTTTTCCTTCTTTAAACCCATGGATAAGCAAAGATTGGATTCACAGTCAACGAAAAGGTGCACATTAAGTACAGCAGGTCTGGCAGCATGCGTGAAGAAAAAAATCAGAGTTAATGTTTCGGGTCCGGTTACTGGACCCAAAACATTTGCAAAAATTACTGATTATGATGTTCTTCAAGAACCCAGCCCCCCTGAATGGCATTGACTTTAATGAAAGCCTTCTGAAAAGGTATTATTCTTTGAGGGCTATTTACATCAGATAATATTGTAACAGCGATGAACAAGTTCATGATACATTTGTGTTGTGCCTTCTTGGTCTTTTGTTATTGTCCCGAAACATTAACTCAGATTTTTTTCTTCACAGACGTTGCCAGACCTGCTGAGCTTTTCCAGCAACTTCTGTTTTTGTTTCTGACTTACAATATCCGCAGTTCTTTCGGTTTCTATGCACATTAAGTACTGTACGGATTCATGAAGGATTTAACATGCAAACAGCAGGACTTTCTTCTAAAAGATGTAATTAAAAAATCAGCCAATTACACTGGAAATGAAAATTATAGGATCCCATAAAAATTAGTTTTGTGAAGACTCTTTAACAAAAGTATATATTATATGACAAGAGGTATCATGCAATGTAGTAAGAACAAATAAACTGGTTGAAGTTCTATAAATACATTGATATTATAAAATTCGTAAGTTACTTAATTTTAATGTGATTGGACCTTGATGCTGGAATGCCAAATTACAAACAATCACAACCATTTATACAATAGGAGATGAGATGATGATAGTTTGCCATGTCAGCACTGGATAAGATGTTGCCGTGGAGAAAGCAATGGGCTCCCGCGCTACCAAGTAGTTTGAAAGAGGTATTTAAGATCAAGGAGGGTTTTATTAATACTGCTGGGACTGGGTATCACAAAAAATCATTTTTAACTGGAATGTTTATTCCATCATCTATGAGTAACCTCATGTTAAATAATTGAAAAATGACACATAAACATAGGAGATGGGAACAAGACTAATCACCCCCTCAAGCCTGCTCCACAGTTTGATTGGCACTGATCTGATTGTAACTTTAATTTTACTTTCCTGCTTATCCTCCAAAATCCTCCACACTTTCATCATTCAAAAATTGAGTCTTGAATATATGTGACCGAGCTTCCACTGTTCAATGGGGTATGTCCTACAACTAACAATCTTCTGAGAAAAGAAATTCCTCCTCATCTCTGTCTCAAATGGGAGATACTTTACTTTGAAACTGCTCCCTTTGGTTCTAGATTTCCCCAGGTGGGGAAACATCCTCTCAGCTTCAATATTCTCCATACACAGAATAATTTACTAATTACATCGATATGCTATAGTCAGTTCCTACATAAAATATTTCTCAATACACAGAAGCTTAAAGATGCCTGTTAAAATACTTCTCTCCCAAAAAAGAGCTTTTAGAGACTCCTTTGTATTCTGTAGAGGGGCACCTTTAGTGGAAGCACAGCCAGATTTATGGACAGAACTCTCTTCCAAACCATATGCATGGAAATCCAACAGACTTAGTATGTATTTGAAATTTTCCTTTTCTTTTTTGCAGGTTTGGCTTTTTTGTGGCCATAACAAAAAACATGCAATTGCAGAAATCCCAGGTCAATGCACTTATCTACAAACTGGATCTTCAGTTAGACAGATGGCTTGTAATTCCTGGTGTAAGCATTCTTACATTTCCTACAGAATCTATTTCCTGGTACCAATGGCAGACATAATTTGAAATAAATAATTTGAGAAGAATTCCTAATGATCATGGTAATGTCCCAGGAGCTTAATCCAGATCTTTTGGAATCAGGTACAAGTCCACTCTGTGAATAACCATTTGTAAATTAATAAAAACAATTTGCCATATTGCCATTGTGGTAAATTAAAATATATTAACACTCAGACTAAAATATATTAACACTCTGCTGATTTATCTGATCACAATATGGGATGCAAGCACATACCATCTTATATATCTCCGAATAGCATGTATCCAGCAAAAATCAAGCCCAGCAGCACTTTCAAACCCAGAAAAAAAATACTTCACTGATTCACGCTTTTAATTTTTGACGCCCTCTTTGGCAGTCCTTTGGGATCAAGTATGATTTGCTTGCACTCCAGTTTGATAAGTTATCAGCTGCCACAGAATGCAAGACTACTCAAAAAGTTCTAGGCTTCACAGAATCTCAGAACTCTTCTGGCACAAGCAGCAGCAATTTAGTTAATTGTGCCTGCATAAAGGCTCTTCAAACGAACATCACTACTTGGTGCCAATCTCCTGCTTCTCTCCCATATCCTTGCACACTATTTCTATCCAAATAATCGTCCAATGTCCCTCTTGAATGCCTCAATTGAACCTGCTTGCAGCACACATTTTCATGCAGTGCATTCCGCATCCTAACAACTTGCTGTACGGAAAAGTTTTTTCTCTTGTCACCCTTGCTTCTTTTGCACATCACTTCAAATCTATACTCTCTCGTTCTTATTCTTTTATGAGCGGGAACAGCTTCGTATTATCTAACCAGCCTGCTCATGATTTTGAGCACCTCTATTGGATCTCCTTTCAGCCCTCTTTCCTCCAGGGTGAACAGTCGTAACGTCTTCAATCTGTCCTCACAACTGAAGTTTCTCATTCCTGGAACTATTCTTGTAAATCACTTCTGCGGTCTCTCCAACGCATTAATCTTTTCTATAATGTGGTGCCCATAATTGTACATAATTCTCCAGCTAAGGTCTAACAAGTGTCTTATACAAGTTCAATGTCACTTCTTTGTTGTTGTATTAT